TATTTGTTCCGCCCCGCAGGGGTTGCCACGTGGCGAGTCGTGGAATGGAGTAATGATTGTGTCGCTCCCCAGTCGCTTCCACCTGGCAATTCGAATGGAGTAATACTGTTTTCCGTCTCGCTGGTGGTGCTGCTGGTGTTGCTGTTGGTGGGTTGCCGCGGCATCTACTGCTGATGCTGCTTGCTGCTGCCATTGGTTTTGGTGCTGCTGCTGCTGGTGCTGCTGGTGGTGCTGCTTGTGGTGATGCTGCTGGTGGAGCTGCTGCTGCTGGTGCGTCTGCTGGTGGTGCTGGTGCTGCTGGTGGTGCTGCTGCTCGTGGTGCTGGTGATTCTGCTGCTGGTGCTGCCGCTGCTGCTTGTGCTGCTGTTCTGTTGCTGCTGGTGCTGCTGGTGGTGCTGTTGCTGGTGGTAATGTTGCTGGTGCTGCTGGTGATTCTGCAATTGCTGTTGATGCTGGCGCTGCGAGGGCCCTGTCCGCACACCGCTGCCGTCGCCGTCGTCGTCGTCGTCGTCGTCGTCGTCGTCGTCGTCGTGGCCGTCGTTGTCGTCGTGTCGTCGTGGTCGTCGTGGTCGTCGTGGTCGTCGTGGTCGTTGTGGTCGTGGTCGTGGTCGTGGTCGTGGTCGTGGTCGTGGTCGTGGTCGTGGTCGTGGTCGTGGTGGTGGTCGTCGTCGTCGTCGTCGTCCTCATCCTCCTCCTCTCCCTCGTCCCCCTCCTCCTCTACCTCCTCTTCGCTGTTCTTGCTCTTTCTGAGGTCGGGCAGTTGTTTCAGCGAACGCGCGGCGGCAGGTTCCTGTGAGGGCGAAACGCTGTTCTGGTGAGAACGGAACGGCTGTTTCGGTTTTGGCGGGGCTGTTCTGTTTTGGGATCTCGGCTCGGACCGTTCCGTGTTCTCGGGATGGTCGGTTGTTCCCGGTACGGTTTCCACCACATCAGCAGGCTCTCTTCCCGCATGGGCGCGCTCAGCTGCGGCTGCGTCTGCCGCGACTTAGGCCGCGTCTGCCGCCGCCACCAGGTCCTCGATCTGCTTGGCGATGCGAGCGCCCTCGACGCCCAGCCTGCCCTTGACGACGTCCAGCAGCGCCTGCACCAGCTGCGCGCCTGGCGTCGACGGTGCCAGTGGGCCCTGGGCGCCCTCCTTCTGCATGACCATGGCGATTGTGGTGGTGTACTCCTTGACTGCCGTCCTCTGCATCTCGAGCACCGCCATCTCCTCGTCGTGCTTGGACTGGATCGGCGCGAGCTCCTTCTTAAGCTTCTCGACCCTGGCCTCCGTCTTGGTGACCTTGCCTCCATGTCGCTCTTGTGGTGGAGAAGGTTCTGCAACTTAGCTCCTCCTGTGTGCCATCCAATTTTTGCTTTACTCTCCTCCACGCAACGACGACGACAGGCAAGGTCGTTGAATCTTGAATCCCGAACCTGGATCGGCTTCCCCTGCAGGTCGAATCGCTTCTCGTGCACCTCCACCCGCTCCAGCTCGATCTGCAGGCGCTCTGCCGCGTCTTGCTCCGACGACGGCGGCGGCGTCCCAGGCTCGGACTTGCTCCCGAGGCATTCCGCCAAGGGTGGGCCTCCTTCGCTCCACTTGTTGTGCCGGGGCGCCTTCTTCGTGGGCTGGCTCGAGTCGTAGAAGGCGACATCTGGCTTGCGCTTCTTCTTGGCCACCCCGCAGCGCCGACAGGCGGTGAGACGCGCCCAGTTCGATACTGCCGTGCCAGACTTTGCGCACTCCCTGATGTCCACTTTAGGTGCCACCCATTTTTCCCTGCCATGACAGGCCCGCGCGGACGACAGTTGTTCCTAAGCCAGTCCGCGCAAGACAATAGTCTCTGTCATTCATTCCCAGCTCGGGCCGAGAACAGCTGTGATGATGACGACGATGATGATGCTGCTGATGATGGTGGTGCTGATGATGATGCTGCTGCCGATGATGATGATGAGGATGATGATGAGGATGATGATGACGACGATGCTGATGATGACCATGATGATGATGGTGGTGATGATGGTGATGTTGATGGTGATGGTGATGATGCTGATGATGATGCTGGCGATGATGTTGTTAATGCTGGTGATGCTGGTGGTTATGACGACGGTGATGCTGATGATGCTGCTCATGATGATTGTTATGATGATGCTGCTGCTGATGATGATGAGGATGATGATGCAGGTTATGCTTATCATCATGCTGCTGCTGCTGCTGCTGCTGATGATGATGATGATGATGATGATGATGATGATGATGATGATGATGATGATGATGATGATGATGATGATGATGATGATGATGATGATGCGCGGGCATTTGCGAAGCAACACCCACCACCAGAAATGTACGCCACACTCTTAGACCTCAAGGCCCTCATGAACCGATCGAGGTATTCCCGCCTCTTGCTGGTGATACTGGCGTAGCGAACGTAATTGATCTCGGCCTAAGCATCCACATCCTCTGCAGATCCAGGCAATGACAGAAAACGATTGCACAGCAGAGTGAGACTCATGC